TTAAGTCAAAATGAGTTGAAATTTGTGTCATGGTGTTTATAAACATACACTGATTCATTTTACAACCTCAAAACATGAATTCTGAGCGAAATTAATCATTCTCGCCCATGGGCCCACTGTGGGCGAGCGAGTTTAAATTTAAAGTTTTCGAAAAAATCTTTTTCATTTTTCATCGTTGGCATATATTCCTAACAACTGCATGTTTAATTTGGTAGAATCCCTTGTCAGAAAGTGCCCACAGTGTGTGGAGAGTTTCTGGACTTTTGTGAGTCCAGAATTAAATTGTGACGTGTTGTACTCATTTAATTATTGCATTTTTTAAAAGAATTAAATTTGTTAAACGAATTGTAAATAGATACTTATTTTTGTATGGGAGGTTTAATTTTGTAACTCAGATTGTTAGTGGCTGTATCCTCAAGGGGGTTAAAGTACTGTAAAATTATTGTCCTCCTGAGAGGGTACGTAAGTCCCGAAACATTCAAAGGCAATTTAAATTTACCAGATTTTTAAATGTAGCATTTTCGTCATTTTAATTAGGCTTCCCTTGACCATAATCGCCAGCTGCTGATGGGTTGATATAAATCCAGCTAGGGTCCATTCAGGTAGCCAAAGATCCGGCCCTATCTCATCATGTGTCCTGCAAGGACAATACTTTTTCAAAGCACTGTTTTCCGCAAAATCAACACTGTTGGCATTTCTCAGAGCATACAAACATATTGCCTACATATTGTTGTTTTGCTGCCGTCAGTTATTCGATCTTCCATCAGATGATCAGGCATCGCTGCCCTTTTTGAAGAATGAAAGATCTGACACCTTTGTTCTAAAAAGGGGGTGCTAACTTAAGATCCATGTGTATTGTTCGATAGCTTATAGATCTAATGGATATAGCGAACCCTAGTTTCATATCACGGCCTTTGTCCTTTTCGGAGAAAGGGATATTAAATATTTCCTCTGCTGTAAGTGTAATGTCGTTTCTGGGAGTAAGCAATATCACGGCGGGGGACACCAGAAATGGGCTTTACACATTGTACCCATGTGGGGAATCAACCCGGGTCTTCAGCGTGGCGAGCGGAAGTTTTAACCATTAGGCTACCCCACAGCCCAACGTTGTTTCCAGCAGCCTTTGGTGAAATGTATATTTACATTAAGCAAACTACATAAAAATCTCTCAACGAAGTATAGTATTACACCTATTCGTGTTGTAATGATTTAATGGCCTAGATACTGGCGGTACACAGGCATACGTACATGATACATTCATGTATTCTGATCTATGGACACACCGATTATCCACAAGCAATAGATACACACTAACACCGACACCACCCAATCCACCTCTCCCTATCCATACAGACACACATACACACACACACACACACTTATACATATATGTGTTTGTACAGGGTATGCGTGTGTGCTGTCTGTGTGTAAAGAGAGAGAGAGAGAGAGAGTGTGTGTGTGTGTGTGTGTGTGTGTGTGTGTGTGTGTGTGTGTGTGTGTGTGTGTGTGTGTGTGTGTGTGTGTGTGTGTGCGCGCCTTGTGCCTGGGCCCCCATGCTACAATCAACCACCCACCCACAGATAGACACACACCTACCTTGCTTGGCAGGCAGCAGTCCGTTTCCGCGACGGGAACCTCTGAGCGTTAGCGAATGTAAAGTTTCACATGCACGTATGTCAAGTTATATCCAAGTTCAACACTTTGCTTGTAACACAAGCTGGGTCGTGGCGACATGCAATGTTATCTCACTGCACAAACACAAATAGAGGCTTTTTAAGCAATATCCTTGGTAAAGGATGCTGACGGGGCAAGCTATGATGTCACCACGTGACCATCTCAAACACGGTACACCTACTTTATTTAAGATCAACCGTAAGGCGACGAGGATCACCTGTTCACCCGTACCATTCATGGGACAATATTACGAAGTCATGATTGCTTTTGATACCCGAAGCGAACTGACGTACTGGGCCTACGTGTTTACTTGCATGGTTTTGTTTTGTGTTATGGTGGTGGTCTTTGTTTGGTTGGTTTGTTTGTTTTCTTTTGAATACATAATGTCATTTCGAAAGTTATCAAATATTATATTTATTTTAATTTATGGCAAGATTATCATTCTAAAATTGCTAATAGCTGAACGGATGGTAAATCCAGCTTGGGTCCATACAGGCAGGAAGCAAATGTACTGTAAGTCCTCATGGTTCCTAGTATGGTGATCTACCTTCAGTTGTTGGCAATCTATAGCTTGTTTTTTTTATATTGTATCGTCTTGTATACTTAAATGTTTAAATTTAATTACTTGTTTCAAAATCTGTGATAAACTAGATGTTTTACTGTCCTTCGTTGACAGGTTTTTATAATTCATCTATAATTATCATAAATATATAACTTGATATAGTCACGATATGGCTGAAATACTGCCGATGTGACTTTAAAAAATTAACTCAGTCACTCAAATATTATGTTATATTTGGGATTACACTTTTTCAGTATAGATTCTAGTACAAGTAAATGCATTTAATCCTGAATTAAAAGTAAATTTGCTTTAAAATTAAAACATAGCAATATTATTTAAACCTTATATTATTCAAATCACGGGCTATAAGCCACCAGCAACCACTTCAATGAAGATCATGGGTACTGAATCCGTGAAGATCCGGGTTAGAATTGGTCTTTAGCAATCCCTGCTTGTCAAAAAAAGGCGACTAACGGGTTCGAGAACCAGGCTCACTGACTTGGTTTGTGCATGCTATCGTATCCCATCTACGTTCATCGATGCTCGGTACAAAACAGCCAGTACGCTTACATACATCCAACGGCTGAAGACAACTAAGCAACGTAGAGATACAAGGCACACATCTCGCGGGAGCAATTAAAAAGACAAAACAAAACTTAAACAATATACAAAGACACAAATGTCTCTATGAGAAAAGGCCAATAAGACAATGAATATATAAATCCCTCTGCCCTCTCACTTTTATAGAATGGGATAATGATAGCTTTGGACCAGGGCAAGGGAACTCCTTGATAGGGCCATTCAGGTATTCATCAAACAGGTCCCAAAATAGCTAAACCAAGTCTCTGGAGATATATTATTCAATGATGAAACCCCACCTGTTATAAGGTGTTTCAGTTTTTGCCAGAACGTTTAAGGATCACATATTGCATCATTCAATTACATGTACATGTTTATCATCATGATTTTGCTAGACACCGTCTTAAAAGAATCATTCTTAATATTATGTATGTTTGGGATGGTAATATTCAAATGAGCACGTCATTATTGGACAAATGTAAGTGCAACACAAGACAGCCATTGATTGCGTGAGACTGTGCCAGCTAACAGGCACAGCAATGTGTAAGTTCATTTCTACACGCAATAGTCCCGAGTCTGTTTACCAGCTGATTGCATAACTGTTAATTGCAGTGAAAGTTTTGAAAGAGTCATGTCTGTTACGACTACTGTACACGCACTTACAAGTGTTGGTGTATGATATAAATAAAACATCTGTTTGGTTGGCATTTTAGAAGTTGATGAATATTAAGAAAAATATAATACTTTATGGATAAAAACTTCTTTATTGTACTATACTTTTCTTATAAACAAAACACTCACTCACATAAATGCATATATACATACTATGCCGATATCCAAAACCCTAAATAAGACACCACTCGGTCCCTTAGCCTCTAAACAAAACTAAACATACTCCTTAAGTGACTGTTAATTAGTTCTGTATACATGGAAATAGGTCAAGTTTGATGTATTGATTGATGTATATAACTTCTGTTATTTAAAGTCACCGCCACCTCAATGTATATACAAGGCTGACTGGTTGATGATGATGATAGGATATCTATATAGCGCACATATCCACGTAACTAGTACATGCTCAAGGCGTTTGAGTGTTCACTTGATCAACTGATATATTTGCTGGCATTCTTTTAACCAACTCAAGTCCCTGGGGAGTATTCAACTCATGCAGCCTGTTAGGCGCAGCGAGTTATCACACAGCCTTATCCTCACAAGGTACCCATGTGCAGCTGGGAGAACTGGGACACACAGTCACAGTATTTTGTCCAATGATACTATACCCGCAACTAGGTGTCTGCACGTGTCCGTGTGTCCACCATCTGGTCACCTACCGTCAGATGAGTGGGTTCTTTTTGCACAGGGTTGTGTACTGCACACTAGGGTTGTGTGCTGCACACTAGGGGTTGTGACAGTACTGAAAGAGCCAGCAAGTTATGTTAGCTCCAAGGTTTTACAGCCAGTTACAAGTGGGGATCGATCCAATCACCTTTCGCTTACTGGCGCGGCGCCTTAGACAGCTCGCCCACCATGCCCCCATGACCCCATGAATGGTTGAATATGTCAGTAGCTCACGTGTTCCATCATTTGGCACACAGTTCATAAACGTGATGAGATTACACTCATTGAGCGAAACCTCTTTATCCGAGGTTCAAGGGAGGCTACTCTATCTCACTATATCGGACATATGCGAATGTTGGCCAATATTCGAAAATAAACAACGTCTGAAACGTTGTCGACAAGAAATCACAGATATCTGGCAAACTAGTACTTATATATACAGTCTAAGGGTTAGTAATCGATGTGTACTTAACACACCCAGGAGGACAATGACTGAGTATGGTTGTACGCCGCATTTAGCAATATTCCAGCAATATCACTGGGGACGGGTAACTTACTGATACAAAATGCATGAAATGGTTACTTACAGTGTAAAACAATTGCAAACAACACGGGTACGTGTGAAACGTGTGCCGCGTCATTGATATTCGTGCGTGTACTCCACAGCCTCTGCTGTCTCTCGGATATCTCCCATGATAATCAGCAAACACCTACAGTCTGTATCTAGAGTTAGCTCCCTTCAAAACTCAAACCGCTGATAATGCGGTTTCACCTATTACTGTGCCAAAACACCAATCTACATATGTGTTATACACTTTCCTCTGGGTTTACAAATAATGAAAGATAGTCGCGTCAAAACGTGTTGATCTCCTTTGAGACTGACTGACTGAGTTTGGTTTTTACGTCGCTTTTAGCAATATTCCAGCAACATCACGGCGGGGGACATCAGAAATGGGCTTCACACAGTGTACCCATATTGGGATTCGCCCTTTTAGAGACACTCACAGTTCCTCGTCTGCATAATGTAAAGGAAATGAAACCAAAAATGTTCATGGGCAAGCATGTAAACAAAACACGTAGATAAGGTGTTACAATATGTATAATGACTGCTCCCTTCCACATGGGCAGAAGTACGTATGCTCCAGACATCCGGGGCTCTGGTTCAGTTATAAAGCATCATGGTCCGACCTGAATGTGTTTGTTATCTGTTCTAATGAAGTTGCCATGGTTGGGGAAGATATGAAAATACTTCTGATGAAGACAGTGTTTCAATGCAGTCTCACTTGAGTGACGACACACGTATCATCAATGCCTCTGTCAACCAAATTATTGTATGTAATTCTGATGAAATAGCTTCATTAGAGTTCGCCATAGCAAAGTTTTCGCAGTTGGGGTAGGCATAAATACAGACAGTCAGTCATACATCACTCTGTGACTGACTTTTTACTCACTGTTATCCACTCAGGTCCGGCATGTTGTGTGCAGTGGTACCTGGAGGATTCAAAGTTACTCTCAACAGTCAAGATCTCTCCGAATCTAGGATGGCCACAAGATCTGGTATTTTCTTATCAAGAACCTTCGAAAGATCTTTCATTTCATTAGCCTTCGAACGGAGTTGCGCAGCAACAGCAGATGGTCTTCTTTCAATTAACCCCACAACATTTGAAATCAACTTGTACACGTCTAAAGGTAAACAGAAGGGCAGACAGGAACACTCCTACAAACTTTGATATCTTAAGTCCATTTGCAACGATGTCGTCCATAACATCGAAAACAGCCAGCAGCAGTGTAAGCGATTTGCTATAGTCGACACTGATGACAGGACAACCTTCTCTTTGGGCGTTCATTTCGAGTCGAAGGCTTTGCAAACATCCTCGAATTTCAAGTATAACCATTTGGGCTTCTTTGATTTTGTCCTTTGTCTTTCCTTCCACAACAAGTGACACTACTACTTCACCTACACCCCTCCAACACCGACAGCAGCAGCACCAGTGCAAGGAGCATCCCAACGGGGCCAAGCAACAAACCTGATATTGACAGAGCAGTTCCAATGAGTCCCGTGCCTGCACAAATTACTTTCGTGAGTCGGTTGTTTTGTTCAAGTTCATCTACATCTGCTGCAATTTCCATCAATGTTTTGCTCACTGTGTTGGAAAGATCGTTGCATTGTGTTAATGTGGTGATAAGTTTCTGTACTCCGTCTCTGCAACAGATAGATACAAATTAAACACAAAATGTACTGGACATATCTACTACTAAATATGTTGATATTACATTTGAGTACGTTTCAAACAAAGAGTCATTCTTATTTTCCCTGGTGCATGTTGACAAGTCTGTATCAAGATCCATCGGTCTATTACAAATTTAATCTTCAGGAGTTGTCTCAAAAAGTAATATCTATTATTTGTGTAATTATCTTTTACGTCAGTGCAAACATCTCATCCTCTGTTTTATTTGTAATGATAATAATATGTTATTATCTCGGGAATGTCTGTAAGCGTGTGTGCGCTCAACACAAATGAGGCAAATGAGCAATGTATTTAAAACTTCAGATGCTCGGTCACATCAATGGTGGCACCAAACTTCTCAAAGTAGCACTCACCCTGATGGTCGTCCTTCTCTCCTTGAAATGAACATACTCCTATGGTGCTGATAAGATTCTCAAAATTTTGTCTTCTTTATTCCAAACATGTCAGGAATGCATAATAAATATGCATACGTTTCTTGAGTTCTGTTATTTTTTCCGTGAAGGTCTTCCTCGAGAAGACATCAAAGACTGATACAACTTCCGTAAGAAAAATGAAATTGTCTTTTTGTGTAAAGTCGAACAGCAGCTGATAGGTCTCGCCCAAGTTGGCAGCTGTAAGAGAGAATGTCCGCAGAACGTCTACTTCCATCATGGACGGTTAACACAAATCCGAACCTGTGGGGAATTAAAATGACAGCTTCACAAATAATTTCAAGTGGAAGAATAGCGTCAGGAGAAAGTTTCAAGAGCAGTTCGTAAAGATTCTTCAACGAAGGCAAAACATGATGCTGTCGACCCATCGTCATTTTCTTCACTGAGTTCTGAAGCTCGATTAATCACTTCTTTGTAACTTCTGCTGTCCTTCTGGCCAGGTTTTTCTTAGGCTCTGTTCGTTTCCCTAAAACAGCAAACATCATCAATCAATCACACAAATTATACTCATAAAATGAAAATTGCGTTTGACTAGCACTCCAATTTAAATTACATAAATGCAGCCTGCAGAGACTTAGTAAAATGTGAACCAATGCTTCTGACATACGTGAGTCATAAATAACCTTTATATAATCTTCCTGGAAGATATTTACATGCAAAACAAATTCAAAATCATACTTTCTCTCTAGTGCTTTAGATTTACTTACTTTTACCATCGTGGTGTTTTGCTGGACCATCTGAAATGATATCGTAAAACCCATTTGAACTTAAATATTTAAAGCTTTCACGTGGATAGAAAGTGCATACGCATAAGATTTTTGACAATTAATAAAATATGTATTTCATTCAATATTACCGACTTCACATATTCACATATACTCATCTTTTCGTCCAGTGACAAGAATTCAAGCACGAGAGTCAAACAATATTTCATTAACAGTGAGTGAGTGAGTATGCGCGGCAGTTAGCAATATTCCAGCAACATCACGGTGTGGGGACACCGGAAGTCGCCTTCACACATTGTACCCATGCGGGGAATCGAACCCGGACCATCGTGTGATGAGCGGACGCTTTAAACCCTAGGTTACCCGACCGCCCCAATTTTACCCATATATCGTAAATGTTAATATGTGTGTTGTTTGGGATTATTTTCTTTTTGTTTTTTGTTTATAGAAATTTCGGGATGGGATTTAAAATGAACAGGGGCTGTTAACATGGGGAAAGTTTTACAGACTAACCGACCATGTTTTACTATATTAAAACTGCCACGGGTCACATTGATGACGAGCGTGGGGCACAATCTGGGACCAGTATCTGGTATTGTGCTGTTCAGAGACGGAGTTGAGCTAACAGATCCCATGTGTGATACATTTATTTTTTACAACAATATTTCCTTAATAGTGAGTAAGTGAGTGAGTGAGTATGGTTTTACGTGGTTTTATAGCAATATTCCAGCAATATGAGGGTGGGGACACCAGAAATGGGCTTCACACATTGTAACGCATGTTCGGAATCGATGCGGGCCTTCGGCGTGACGAGCAAATGCTTTAACCACTCAGGGCAACCCCTTATTTCATTAATAAGGTTGCTTGGGATTTTCGATTAGACATCCATTGAATGAGTCCAGACTCGATGACACACTCATCAACGTTACAAAGCCCCAAGTATAGTTGCCTATTACAAGTATTTTATAGATAATCTTTCTTTTATCATTGTGTCAATATGGTCCCCATACATTACAGGAAATTATAGATTATGGTTGGTTTGATGTTTAACGCCCAACCCAGCAATATTCCAGCTATATGGTTGCGGTTTGTAAATAATCGAGTCTGAACCAGACGATCGAGTGATGAGCATCATGAGCATAGATCTACGCAATTGGGATACGATAGCATGTGTCAACCAAGTCAGTGAGCCTGACCACCCGATCCTCGCCTCTTACGACAAGCATGGTTTGCTCAAGACTAATTTTAACCTGGATCTTCACGCTATAGGTTACGAGGAATAGGGAAAATCTAACGAAAAAGTACAAAAGAAAAGAAAAATTCCATCAAAACAATACATTACCAGTCTTGCGTTTTCTTGTCATTGCCTTATACCACTCTTCAGGCTCGATTTGTCTGAGTTGGCCATTGTGTACTTTGTATGATACAGGCCCGGTCTGGGCATAGAATAATATACCATTCATTGGAGTTATGGAACATTCCAAGATCAGTTTACCGAACTCGTTCCAGTGCCAAAAGATGTCAAAGTCGGAGTCTTCAGTATTTTTAAACTTCCACTATAGCTGCAAAACAGTGTCGATTCCCTAAAGAAATATTTCAAGTGAAAATGACTCGTGTATCCACAAAACCTTGGGAATGCCTTCTTCAAGCACGATTTTCTTGGTTTTGTATCGCTGATATAATATTTCATTTTCTCCAACTCCGAGAAAATATGACCCGCCTTCTGGAAGTTTGGCAAAGGCTGTCAAGTATTCACGAAGTCCAAGTTCCTTCCAAATGTAAAGTGCCGTTTTTCGGGATTATTCTTCAGTTCTTCCTCAAGAAATGATGGTGGTTTGAACCGTTTGAATTCACAGTAATTTCCGTTTGTTT